ACAAAATCAAGATATTTGAAGTGAGTTCTGTATTTGCCAACATTCTTAAAAGAATGTTTAGTGATCACTAACTAAAGTTCACAGTGAAATATTTACTCTTCACTTGATGGGTGTATTGTTCTCATCTGTTGTTATGTCAAATCAATCAATTCAAAATTTTATATGTAGTCATTTCAACTATAATGCATTTGGCTGTGTGAAAGTAAGCAGTTTTAACAGAACTACAAGTAGGTCATTGGGATTAAACTGAAAGTAGCAGAAACAGGAGTTAGGCTACAAAGAGGGAGAAAGGGGTCTCTGGTGCCTGCTGTAACATATCTCAGTCAGTCAGGCTTCAGTGCATGCACACAGACTGTAAACTCATGCTGGATTGTTTTCATGCACTCAGAAATGAGTGCACCCTTCCCATGAGCGCACCACTTTATTCATTACTAATAAATTCATGCACTTCCTAGCGCAATTTGAGAAACCCACCTGATGTTTATTTATCCAGTTGCTTCCCAATCATTCAGCTTATGCACACAGATGCAGAATATGATTATGTTTGTGGGTGAGAGGTGTTGGATGGCTATGAATTTTTTTAATCAGTGTAAGGTGTTTTAAGTAATCGATTCATTCATCTAAGTCTATGGTGTAGGCGGTACAAGACAAACAAACTTGGAAATTGAATTACACCGTCCTGATTTATGATTGTATATGTGACATGCATATGATGGGAGAACAATATTGTCTCCAGCAGTGAAAAATGTCCTAATGTATTGTAGATTATGCTTTAAAGATTTTAGACACAGAAGAAATAATACTTTCTTATAAAACAAGGGTATTATAAAGAGAAACATACCTGTGTAATACTGTATTGGTTATATTTGAACTACTTGAATAAAACCTTCATTGGTTTAATTAATGAACTGAAATAAAATAACAGCTAACATTATAAAACAATCTACTAAAATAAGATGAATTAACCACTGGATGGTATTAAAAAATAAAAAATAAAAGGCATGTAAAATCAGATCGATGTGAAAAAAACTGAATTTTTCAGCATCTATTATATTTCAAACATTTTCAATTTGCTTTTCTTCAAAATTATCTAAAGCAGGCCGATACTTGAAACATTTTATTATGTGGCTTATTAAGGTGCAAATACTGAACTGAACTGCTGTCCTACCACTTTAAATTTGCTACCTGATAGGTTAATATTAAGATATATTAACTTCTATAACAGCAAAAACATGCAAACACATTCTGAGAAATTATTAATTGCAGATTAGTCATTTACAGTAGACAGGAGTAAACCATTGTTAGTCTGCTGACTTATCAACCTACAAAAATTAAAACAATTTTTAAATGTAAAAATCTTGAGTTTTTTTATATAGGCAAATGTTTTACTACTCAGGGCGTCAACATCTGGAGATTCAGAAACATTCTCAAAAACGTAATCTATCGGTTCTCCCTTGAACAACTTTCCTTTTTCTTATTTGCATGCCAACTCAAAGACTAATGGGGTTCCCCCTTTGTGATGCACAAACCACTTTACGAGAATCTTGAGAGAACAACCGATGAACAATAATAGTGGCATTGGGATCTAATTTGAAACTTACGATTCAGCTCTAAATTGAAGGATTACTTCACTGTTTTCATGTCATTCATGCAAGAGAGGCCATTGACTTCAAAAGTGATCAAATATTTTTGTAATTAAAAAAACAACCTCCTGTAACTTTGAAGAATACTGGATTCCTGCCCATTCATGGATTCACCTATTCACATATTTTTCTGTGGACTTTAACTACAGATGATTTGAGGAAAAACCGGCATATCTGTCCATTTTAGTGTAATAGGTATGACTCTTTGGTGTAAAAAGCAGATTTACTGTATATATTGAATATATATTGATTTTTGTAAATCTTTCTAGTTGAGGTATAAAAGTATGTTCCAAAATTCCTGATGTAATTTTAAAAGAGATTTTGACTAAAAGTTCTGATTAAAAAGCTGCAAATTTCTGTAAATACAATTTTGATTTCTAAAGTAAAATGTACTTTCTATCCACTTGTCCAACCTTCCTTGGCAGCAGGAGTGTAACTGGAACTAAAAACTAGCCTGATTCACATTTTATGCAGGCATACAAAGCAGGTTTGCCAAATTTATTTTTATTTGCTCTTTTATTTACTGTTTACAAGAAAAAAAAGTGTATGCAACCGTTAAAGTCTTCTCAGTAGTAAACTCAGACGGTTTTAATGTGTTAAATAGAAGTTTGAGGCCTTGTATGTTATTAATTATTCAAAGTGTAGTGATTTTAAATTGATAGTATATATCTAAAAATATATACCTCTGTCACCTAATTGTAATTGTGTCTTTCAATGGCATATAAAGATTATGTGTGTAGTTCCAATCTATCTGAAACTGTAATGTGATCATCTGTTACGATTTTATAAAAAAAGCATAACCGATGCCTTCTTACTTTCAGGATGACTCCAGAATGAATGCAAATGTAAATCAAACATTGCAGGAATGACCCAAAAATAAAAGCACTTTATCTCATGTCACAAAATACAGATGCTCCGCATCTCAGTGTTGAAGATTTGCTTGCATAGACTTCCACCTGATGACCTCTCGGCACCATTAATACACAATATACAGACACTGATCTTTCAGGCTGAGATCAGTGTCCATTAAGTATGATAAAATAACCAAAAGAGAGGCACTTACTCTATCAATAGACAGCATCAAACAGTAAATTTCATATTCTTCACCTGAAACACACACTTTTGCATCATGTGTGGAAGCAGCTTTACTGACCAAACACTTGAAAAAAAACCAGCAACCAGGTTCAATTAATTTGCATACTTGACTTCTGAGCTAATCTCTGACTCATGCTAATTATTTGCCACATATTTTGAACTTAAGTTACTTGTAACTGATTACTGTGGCTTTTAAAAAACTTACTTACTTATTTTTTCCATTTTATTTTAATTTACTTTGTTATTTTAGGAATATTGCAGCTACGAGTTGATAGACGTTTTGCTAGGCTTTGTTAAAAATGATCACCTTTAACAATGTTTTTCAAGAAATTGTTGAGTACAGCGTCCTTAGCACACTCAGCACTTTAGTGTAAGCAAGTCTTCTGAAGTAGTCCGGTAAAAAGTAGTCCGGTAAAAACCAATCTCTTGTCCTACGCTATTTGCTTCATCCAGAGAGTCTGGGCTCTCGACTGTTGAGAAATGATTGCTTCATGGAGGCGTGGACTGTGTTGAGGTTTAAAATTTTCCCCTATTACTACTGTTTGCCTTTGACGTATGTAATGGACCAGTTTAACGGTAAGAAGCTTACTGGAAATTGCCAGTGCTGTAAACAATCATACTCCACCGCAAAGAGAAAAGTGCCGAGTCGTGTGAAGCAGCTGACGATGTTTATTCAATATTTGGAAGCTGAACGGCTTCATTGAATTGTCATTGCTAAAACTACAAACAGACTGAAATTTTACAACAGTGTAAGTAGAAAATATGCTTAGGACAATCCAAGTCAAAGGAAGAAAGCACCAACATGGCAATAGCTAAGCTACTTCTGAAGAACCGATATCTATGTGCTCAGCTTAACCAAGTGATCTGGAAATGTAACACAGAGGCTGGAGCAGAGAAGAGTAACAGTCAAATAGCTCAATATATTAATTATTTTCTTCTAACCGCTGCTACAAACATCTTCCTACCAAGTTTGACACTTATAAATATTTGAAAAGTTATTCATAACATTTTGAAATTGGATCAGATTGCAAGTAGACGTCTGGCTATGAAAAAACACCCAACAAACGAGAGAAAAATTTTACAAGCAAAATACGCCATAGGCCAACACATACCCAAACAAAGCAGACCCAAGAACGCCCCAGACTTTTTCAAGTAGCATTTTTAAACAACATGAAACTCTTCATATGTGATTGTCCTCATGATGACATTTTTTTCAAAACAGAGACAGATACCTTCTGAGCACCTCTGAACTGCCAGCAACAGGCTGCCTATGTGGCATTGTTAATGCTTCTTTGTCAGCACAAGCATCACCGAATACCTCTTGAAAGCTTGCAGGTTGAGGTGAAGCGTAAAGAATTAGATCTTAGCTGCCGAAATACAGACAGAGATAGTGAAAGATTAGCTGTCATCCTTCAACGGATCAGAGAAGACACGACTGCCAAGTGATTCTCTTTGTTACAAAAACAAAGGAGATATTCCGAACACAGTCAGTGTTTTTTTTTTCTTTTTTCAATCTAGTTACGTCTCTAATAACTCGGAGCAGTTGTGAAAGACGACGACTGTCGTTTTGCGAACGGAGGGGAGGAATCTGTGTAGACGTAAACAACTGAAACATGAGCCACTGAGCATTACCTGGGAATGCCACACTGACTTACAAATTGCTCGCTGTGAGGTTTAACTTCAAGATTTCTAAACAGCAGCTGTTCCACACGAGACAGTTTCAAACAAATTCAACTAAAATGTTTTACTGTTGCTCCAAAGGATAACAAAACTGCAGCTGGAAAGCTTAATAAATAATAACTTCCCGGTTAAAACCGCCACAATGACAGAATCTTGAGGCCATTAAACATAAACGCTGTGCAGAAGAAACAAACATTTGCTGAAGTCACTCATTCACAGTACCTTGCAAAAGTATTCAAGCTCCATGAACATTTTCACATTTTGTGAAATTATACCCACCATCTTCAATCTTTTTTAGCGATTTTCTGAAATCAGTGACAGTAGTATATACTTATGTGGTGGAAGGAAAAAAAAAAACAAGCTTTTCTTGAAATATGAAAAGTGTGATGTGAACTTGTACTCAGCCTGGCTGAATCAACAGCCTGTGATGAAAGACTTTGGAAATGTGTCTGTACCAGGATTACATATGTAAAGACTATTTTTTTTGTCAGTTCTTCTTGGTAAATAGTTCCAGCTCCATCTTGCCACTGCTTTTCAATATTTTTGCAAAGTGCTGTACATATAGAGTATTTACATACTTACATGCATTGGTCACTGCAAAGCTGTTGGCTGTCTCTATATTGTCAACGTGTGGGACCAGGTTAAAGGGAGCTTCCGTAGCGTTAGGGCTGGTGTTGTGAAGGAAGATAGCTAGTCGGAATGCTGTGTATTCCTGATCTGTATTCCTAATGAACAGTCCACCTAGACAGAGTGAGACCAGGCAAGAGGAGGGACAAGATGGAGCGGAGAGGAAGTGAGTTATTGTGGGGCAGAGAAAGGGCAGGTGGGAGCATGGTGAGACAGGGAGAGGCAAGGAGAAGGGGGGGGGAAGTAAAGATGGATGGGAAAGGCAGAGAAAAACAGAGGAGGGGAAAGAGACAAGAAAGCCAATATCTTCATTAGCTTTGTTATAAAAGGTGATTTGTCTTTCTGCACATTCTCAAGTTCTGTATTAACACACAGGCATGAATACAAACGCGCTTGCGGATGTTCAAATTGTTCAATTCATTAATGAAATCTGGCGGAGAGAGGCACAGAAAGGAATAGAGGAAGAAAAGAGATTTTCGAAAAGCTGAGAGGAAAGTCTAATGAGTCAGAGAATAACCAGATCACAGGGTATTAGTTAAAAGAAGTAGAGAACTGTCTTGGGCAAACTAACACTACCTTTCCAGTTAACATTTTAACAAGAAGTTAAAATGTTTTAACTTCTTGTTAAAATGAGAAAACACTATAAAAACACATGAGCTGGCAGAAAAAAAGTGATAAGAAAAGAAGAACAGAGTGGTGGAGATCATCTTTTGTAAAAACGAGGGGTCATCTAATCCTTTAAGGGCACTCTCAAATAACATGTTCTGACCAGCTTCTATTACCTGAGCCTGATAAGATATTAATGATAGTAATCTGACACAGCTAACAGTGACAATCACTTCCATACTTTAGGTATGTTGAAGCAAGTTTAGTATTCCATTAGGAGAAAAATACAATTTGAATATATCATTTAACACACAAAGACTATGTGATTCAAGTATTAATTTGTCTGTGATATTTTGTTATAACACTTGTTATAGACTCTAGTGAAGCTAGCAATTTTTCTCTAAGAGCTTCTAGTTTTCAAAAGATCACATTCGAGATCTCATAGGTTTTCCAACTTGATTGATGTTTTAGCAAATGAATATTTAATTTATGTTTCTGAACTGGATGTTCTGCAGAGAGGTGGTTACATTTAAAAATAATTCTGTAGTGTGAAACTGTAGCCTGAATCTGCACAATGACAAGCCAACGTCCAACATAAAATTATTTTAAGGAAAACTTGATAAAATCTTAAAGGAGAGTTTGTGTAATTTCACAAACTCAACTATTTTATGGGGAATCAAATAACTAAGCTCTCATATATTTGTTCTGTTCTACCTCTATTTTATAAAATCTTAATCCTTACAGGGTGGCAGTAGTGTGGGGTTCACTCTGAACAGACTGTCAGTCCATCACGCTGCAACGCTTAGACACAGGACAGACAACCATGGAGGACCAGAGTCCTCTATGGAAAATTGAAGAAAATTGAAATGGCTAGTTAACTTAACATGCATGTTTTCAAACTGAGGAAGAGAATCCATACATACACGAGGGACCTCAGTACCTACTTGGTGCAAAGCAACAGTGCAACAAAGCAATGCGCCACTTGCAGCACTGCGCCACTTGCAGCCTTGTTGTTTACCCTTTACTCCTTCATGTTTTAAAGAAATGTGAAGGATGGGAGTGAATTGGTAGCAACAGGACTATGAGGGCAAAGTGTGCTAACTGAAGCTTTTTTTCCTCTAAGGATCACAATCTCTGGTTCTGTCATATTAAAAGCTGTTGTTAATATTTTCAGCACTGGAACAGACAAGGATGTAGTAAGCAAGATCTCTTCACTTGATACCATACAAACCCCAAAACAAATAATTGTAGAAGCAACAAAAGTGAAACTAAAGCTGAAGCCACGGCAGTTCTGCACATGTACATATCTACTTACTTAGGAATAGTACTTTGCATTTGTGTAGGTTGGATTTAGATCAGGTTAGGTTTAAGTTAAATTTGATCTTAAGTCAAAACAAAAACAGATATTTACTTGACCTATTACTGCAGGAATTGCCCTCATACTAATACAGACATCCACGTGGAAAAAAATATGTTAAACATGACCTCTTTTAAATTATGTTGTAGTTTACATGGAACATGCATGCTACTCCTCAAGCACCGGTGGAACATCCTGTATCTACAGGTGCATTTACTGAGGACTGTACACAGAAGGGGAGGAAAGAGCATACTGTATGTGCGCTGCTCTGCACAATCGCTGCCGGCATTTTACTTTGTCCTATAAGGTTTTTCGTTAAACACTGGAATGCAAAGAAAAAAAAAATAGATGACTTCACAAATGTTGCATCTTTACATGATAATGTGCATAATAAGTGGGAGCATGCTTGAAAATCAGTGCACTCATGTGCAGGTTGGAGCACAAAGCAACCAGTGAATATTTAGCGCATTAAGTTTATTGGCAGCAGCAAGGAGACAGAGTCAAGGAGCTGAATCTCATTATAGGACCTCCCAGCTTACCCTCTCTACACCCCACCAACCCCTAACACACAATGCACCCAGTGTAGCAGAGGCACAGAGAAATTGTATTCCATACATGCGCGGTCCCCAGTTACTGAGTGAACTGATGCTCAGTTCACTCAGTTAACTTTTACTTCTGATTTGTTAGGGAGGTTTATCACGTACTAACACGGGGGAGGGGATGGAGAAAGGCAGAAAGCGACAGAGGGGGAATGCTGCAGTATCTAAACAGTGAACAAGAGTGGAAAAGGAACAAACCTCCCTGAAACATTCATGAGGCAAGAAGAGCTTTTCAAATGTAGTGAAAGAGTTTGTGTTCATTTATAAACCGCCTGAGACACTACAGGGGATACAAATGGGAATTTATAAGGAATGAAATGGGGGGGTGAAGGTTTCTATAATTTTGTGTTCTTCCGATCCGTCTTTGTTGAGTAATTTACTGTGCTGTACAGCGCAGTCGTTTTATCATGCATGGTGACTCCTGGCCGCTAAAACAACCATCAATATTCAGCGTAGTGCGTTAAGGCTGTAGTGCCTGTGCCGTGCGTAAAAATCAGTAAACCTCCAACTCACCTATCTGCACTGAGCTGGGGAAAGCCCCTGTCGCCAGTCCCCAATAAAGGGCGGAATACACCCCAAGAAATTGCCAAGAAAAAAGAATAATCCTCATGTTTGCTCCTTTCCTCGAATCCCTTCAGAAACTGTTCAAAGACATTTAGAAAGAGGGAAAAGATGCGCAAGAGATAAAAACGCGTCAGAGGACGAGAAGGATTCTCTTCTTTTTTTTTTTTCTTATCCTCGCTTTATTTTATTTTTCCCCCAGTTAAGATTTATATTCCATGTTGAATTCGTCCCTTTGCTTCCCCTGCAGTGTCCGCTCAGGAGAGCCGTGAATCCGGCGCACATGTAAAGACGCGGGGGGAGAGGCAGAGTGGGGAAACTCGTTGGAATGATTGGCGAGCGGGGAGAACAGGCTGCATTGAAGAACTGGACATGCGCGCCCCACCGCCTCTTTCTCACCCACACGCCCTCCTCTTCTCCCTCTTTCTGTCTCTCTCAGTAAAATGATCGGTTTCTCCCTCAGTCCTTATGCTCCTCTGCGTCGTTTACCCTACTCTTAGAAATGGTTTGCCTCGCAATAATAAAAAAGAAGAGTGAGAAAAAGATCTTTTATTGCGTCTTTTCTTTTTTTAAGTTGCGTATCCTTTGAACGCTTCACCGTTTCACCTGCAAGAAGTCACTTTCTAGTGCTGAACTATTTATTAAGAGGTTAAACTCAATATGAACCTTCATTATGTCTCTTAATTTAATGATTGTGGAAAATTTCCAAACTCGGGGAAAATCGAGGTTTAAAAGGGGTTATTATGTAAAATCGACTTTTTTATTATTATTATTTTATATGATGTTTTGTTATTCCCTCATCAAACACATACCTGGACTGTTGCTTTGATTCTTTCATGTATGACTGAGAAATCTTTTAATCTCCCATGTCAGCCGTTCGGAGTTTCCTAACCGGATGCTCTATTTGCCTTCCTGCGCATTTCCGCTTGATTCAAATCTCGCCTCACAGACAGTCTTGGCTTCCTCCCATTCAATTGGATTCCTCCTCTAGAATTTCAACCACAGAAGAAGTTGAACGATGCTGTCGTTGTTTTAAAGCTGTGGTCAGGCTGTAGAAAGTGAACAAAGCTGTTCAGTTCAGGTTATTGGCCAAGCTGATAATTAACTTGTTAATTAACATCACACTCATTGGGCCCTGTTCTTCCCTATTTGAAGTGGGAAAGATTGTTGCTGGATGCACATGACATTTTTGGGAAGCCTCGCAGATGGTGCAGATGTTAACAGTTGGGTAAAATGTCAAACTTCAATGGAGTCCACGCCTTCAGGAAGCAGGAGTCCAGATCCTCTTTACAAAGCCAGGCCACGGCATTTCACCAGGCTATGGTTGCTCATAAAGCATCATCTATTTCAACAGCAGCTCCTCCTTTTATGAACTGCCTGATTTTTTTTGTTGATTTTTATGCACTTTCTTTTCCTCAACATGCCCACTTTTTATGTCTGTCCATTCTACCCTCAATTTATCAAACCTAGGATCAAAGATTTTGATAAAAAAAATAAATAAATAACTGAGAAAATTAAACTCATAGATGCTTAATTTTGCAAGGGGATATAAAGCATTTTCTAAAACGCCCACTCATCAGAGTTGTTATATAAAGATACCTGAAAACATAAACTTACAGTGTATGAAGTCACTGAAATGAGAAGTAATAAGATGGAGTGAAACATAAATTTCAGTTTTTGCATATCTGGAAAATAATCTGTTGAAATCTTATTGTGGCTTTTGCTGTGCTGGGAACTTAAGATTTATTTTCCCGTCCTCTCCCCCTTCCACCCTTTAACAAAAAAAAATTTCTGGAAGCACCCCTGCATTTTTGCCAAAGCTGCTTTGCAGCCTCAATCTGCTCAGCTGACTGAGGGAAGACTCAGGCAGTTGTCAGCTGTGGAATGTCGATGCATCACAACGTCAAAACTTAAGGAGCGAAAACGCCTGGGCACTGATGCGGGGAAATAATGGGAGAGAGCTTCACATGCAAAATCACACAATCATTTGATGAAAGCATGAAATAATGAGATGTCCTGAACATACACAAGTAAGCAATAAAAGGACCTTGCCAGCTGTACGTTGTTACAGCACATTGTGTTACAGCCATGTCCCATTCAGGGTCGTTTGAATCTAGTCTGTTGGTAACAGGTTGATAAAGCTGACAGACGGTCTGAGATCAAGTAGTTACACGGTGGAGAGCACAGTTTCATTCTTCCAGATGGCAAGACGAAAGGGATGCTTCACGGATTGTCCCAGTGAAAGATGCGGTCTATGTTTCTCTGAAGGGCTTCCCCAGCCGGCGGCAGAGCAGACGAGTACATCAACAAAGCTCCAAAAATTGCCAATTTAACATTTTGCCACGCTATACTTAGAGTCCTGACTTATTGAAAAGATCGATTTTTTCAAACCATTCTTAGCTGAAAAAAGATGGCTGCTAATTGTGTTGCATGAACATGACAAGAAATATACAATAAATGCATGCTCTAAATGAGCATGAACTCAAAATGTGCGTAGAGAACACAGCTTCTAGTTCCCCGGATCAGCAATGAGAGACTCTGTCCATGGTGCTGAAGTCAGGCTGCAGACTCAAAGACATGAAGGTAACGTATGTATACTCATTGCAAGTATTAGGTTTACATTTGTAAAAGTGTTTATTCTCCCTGAATGAACACTTTTGTAATCAAATTTACTAATTATGTTATTTACTTGTATTTGCTTTCATTTCAAAACAAATGTATGATGACCATCAATAAAATATTAAATTAGATGTTCTACCCTGTTTTCCTGTAGTTCTACTAGAGAAATTTATTGGATGGCTACATTTTTGCTTTTACTGGAAAATAAAGAAGTTGGAGTAGTGCTACTCTTATGCGAGAACAATTGTTTGGGTACTCTATCAATTTCTGTCTGGCAGTACACAGGTCACAAAAATCTGAATGTACTTCACATTTGATGGGCACCAGACATTAAAACGCTGCAGGGCTGAAGACTACAGACATTAGCATGTAGACATAGGTGAAGATTTACTGTGTTATTGTGTCAACTTCATTAAGCAAACATTGTTGTTTAATTTTATATTATATTGCCTTCATTTTCAGACTAATATAGAAGGCAGCAATCAAAAGATGCTTATTGGGGGCTTATTTGCAGAAGTGAAGAACTCTATTTCTGTAAATCTATTTGACTTTGAAGAGTTTTTATTTCTTCAAATTAAAATAGTGATGCAACAAAATAAGAAATCAGCAAACCAAATACTCACTGTTTAAAAATCTAACATAATGAGTCAGAGTTTATCTGACTCATTCAAATAAAGAGATTGTATTTTCTTTAATCCCAGCTGAAATTTTGTTTCTTTAATATTAATCATTCTGTACCTCAAACATTTTTCTTACTCTATAAATACAGTGTCGGATCAGATTACGTCTCTGTAGCATCTCATCTCTTCTTTCTTTCTTTTTATAAACAAACTTTACGGCATTTAGTGACAAATAAATAGTTTCAATGATTCAAGGAGAAAATCAGCTGCAAAAAAATCAATCATACAGACGATATTTTATTGCGCTATCAAATTGTATTTAAATATACCATTTGATACCCCGCACTGAACCCAAATCCCGAATGAAAGCAGCATTTAGTTTAATAAACCATTTCGAGACAGAAAGATAGCTCTCTTGCTCTATGTGGTAAGGCTGTCATAACAGAAAATATGTCCCAGCCTCCCACATCTTGCACCATGAATAATCTAGATATTTATGTCAATATTGAAATCTGCTGCCTTCAGGGCATTCTCTTTTGTCTGATAAATTAGTTACTTAGTTAACAGTCAATACACCATCTTTGTAATAAAGACCTATTAAGAGTATATCCCACTGGCATGTGATGAACAATGGGAAAAAGAATTAGAGAGAATAATTTCTGTAACAATAACAAGAGCACTTTTTATCTAGTGTTGCATCTATTTTTATATCAAGTGTGTAGCTGTGAAGTTAAAAGGAAAATAATATGGTTTGAAATCTAAAAAAAATAAAATGCTTTAATTTAAATGGTTCCACTGCAGTTCTGGTTGTTTTGTCCTAAAGGGACACTTCAGCCTCCTGGTGATGGTCAGAGATCCAGGTGAACGGCAGCCTTGATTCTGTCACAGTGGAGCAGTCTGATAGATGTTGAAAAGCTATTACATTATAGTACCACATGCTGCATTTTTTTTTGTAGCTTACCACCACCACTGAATGACTGAATGTAGAGCAAAGTACTTTAAGTCTGGACTTTGTATAAGAATTAAACTCTGAATGGTTTGAGCTCATTACATCACTGGGTGTCTTTTGCATCTAATCACAGATCTTGGGCAATTGGTTACTCTAGATATTATTTAGAGGACTAAATACATATGCACACATTGTTCAGATTTATAATTTTTCCCTGCATTTTATAATTATGTGTTCCTTCCCATTGGTCTATCACATAAAATCCCAATAAAATAAATAGATTTGTTTGGTTCTACTGTGACAAAAGTGGAAAACCTATCTGAAAAAATCTATGTATGGGTGTTGTAGTGTTGCAGGGGTAAAGCGTGCGACTCATATATGGTCCTCAACGTGGCTGCCATGGTTCAAGTCCCAGACTGTTGACCTTTGCCACATGTCTTTCCCCTCTCTCATAACCCACTTTCCTGTCTGACTATTAAAAACAGGCCTATAGAGCTGGGGGAAAAAAATGCATGTTTCTGACTTTCTATTGATCTAACTTATAATTGTTGCTGCATGTTTTTTATTCCTCTGTCTAATTATATTTTTCCTCCATACTGACCATATGTCATCAATTTATAAATCCTCATCACCTCTTTTTCCCTCAACCCTCTTTAACTCTTTTTTTTCCTCTCTGCTCTTCCTTCTTATCTCCACATTCACTGTGTTGTCTATAATTCATAGTCTTAACTATATTCCTTCAATTTTTCCACCTTCCATTGACCCTAGCACATTTTATTGCAAACAGTTATTAGGGTTTTATCAGAACCTACTGGCTCTTTCGGCAGTCTCGCTGCATTCTTGCAAAGCTTTTGCACTCAAATCTCTTTCCCTCTAATGTGCCATATGGCACTGGGTCAGGTCTTCTAATTTCTGCTTGTTTTGCTAACACAATCTATTTTTGACATATCTAGCCACTCCCAACAAACATCTTGTATCCTATTAAAAACTGACAAATGATGCTTCCCTCCACTGAGTCCAGCTCCTCCGATTTCAGACAATACACCACGTTGAAAACATGAAAGTTCAAAATGAACAACAGCAGGAAATGTTGGCTTACTCTTCAGCCCACAATCACACGCACT